GCAGTGAAGTGCTCACATTTTTGCAGGCTCACAAATGACAGTGTGGAAGCACAGCCTTCGAGTCTCACTATTCGATATTTCTGCACTCACATTGTCTTTATTATGCTGCTTACCCCAGTCAGAGCTTTTTAATTTCAGGAACGCAGTTGAACTTAAAGTTTTTATTTCACCAACTTTTTCAAAGGGATTGACATAACCCAGGGTGTGCCTGACCCATTTTTACATAAAAGCAAGAGTTGGCAACCAATTTATTAAATTCAGATTGGCTTGCATTTACTGTATGTCTATTATTTGAAAGGTGCAATGCCAGGAGATTAGTTTTCAAGGAATAAACAAATCATCTGGGTAAATGGAAACTTTGAAATGAAATTTTTAGTCTTCAGGAATCATAAGAAAACATATATACCTAAATTAATGATCAAACAAAATGTGCTACTAATATATGCAAAAGAGAGGAGCAACCGGGACAAAAAACCTTGAATATGGCTCTTTGTTAACTTTTTTAAACTACAGAGTCCTTTTTGAGTTAATTCTTTTCCTTTTCTCTTCTAATAGTGTTATCCTCCATGAGCACTTTTTTATTTCAACTCTTTTTTAAAATTATTTTTCAACTACAGTATTCTGTTTTTCACTCCCATCCCAGCTCACCTCCCCTGCCCCCCACCACCCTCACCCTCCCATTTCCGCCCCCCTTAGTTGTTGTCCATGTGTCCTTTACACTAGTTCCTCTAAATCCTTCCCCTTTTCCCCTGAAATTCCCTCCCCTCTCCCTTCTGGTCACTGTCCCCTTGTTCTCTATTTCAATGTCTTTGTTTTTATTTTGCTTGCTTGTTTGTTTTATTGTTTAGCTTCCTGTTAAAGGTGAGATCATATGGTATTTGTCTTTCACTGCCTGGCTTATTTCACTTAGCATAATGCTTTCCAGTTCCATCCAAGCTGTTGCAAAGGGTAGGAGCTCTTTCTTTCTGCTGCATAGAATTCCATTGTGTATATGTACCATAATTTTTTGATCCATTCATTTACTGACGGGCACCTAGGTTGCTTCCAGCTCTTGGCTATTGTAAATTGTGCTGCTATGAACATTGGGGTGCATAGGTTCTTTTGGATTGGTGTTTTAGGGCTAAAATCCTCAACAAAATATTGGCAAGTTTCATCCAACAATATATCAAAAAGATCATACACCATGACCAAGTGGGATTCATTCCAGGGATGCAAGGATGGTTCAATATTTGCAAATCAGTAAATGTAATACATCACATAAACAAAAGCAAAGACTAAAACCACATGATCATATCAATAGACGTGGAAAAAGCTTTTGATAAGGTACAATACCCACTTGTGATAATACTCAGCAAAGTGGGAATAGAGGGAGCATTCTTCAATATAAAGGACACATACGAGAGACCTACAGCCAACATCATACTCAGTGGGCAAAAACTAAAATCTTTTCTATTAAGATCAGGGACAAGACAAGGATGTCCACTTTTACCACTTCTATTCAATATAGTACTGGAAGTTTTAGCCACAGCTATCAGACAAGAAGAGGAAATAAAAGGCATCCAAATTGGAAAGGAGGAAACAAAACTGTCATTGTTTGCAGATGACATGATAGTGTACGTGGAAAATCCTATAGACTCTACTCAAAAACTGCTCGAACTTTTTGAGTTAATTCTTTGGTGGTATTAGAAAAGTGAAATATGCTCAGATATTTATAGATATAGTTAAATTTCATGTTAAACACCCAGGGCTTTAGGCTCAAGCTATGGTTTTCTTGTTTGATTTTTTGTGTGAATTTTTTCATGCCAAAGACATAATCAAGTTATAAAAGTATATTTAGATTAACAACTATTCACTCAATATTACAAGGGTAAACAACTTAATAATTCATGAGTGTACTCATGTTGTATATTAGAGAGCTTTGAAATAAACAGTGGATTCAGCATGTGAAACATGCTCTGAAAATCAGCTTTTGCACAGACTGGACAAGTGTTATACACCACACAAATTCATGGACTGAGAAATTATGAACACCTCTTTACTTGTTACTGTCAGATACATTCATTGCCTGTGTCATCAAAGTGCTTACCAGTTCAATCATGCAGTCTTTTATTTCATAAATGATGGAGTTTAAGGGGACTGCACCATAAACTTCTGTTGTATCGTTCCCTGCCCTTCCCCCATCAGATGTTTAATAACCACCTGCTTATGGATTAATTGCTTGACCACAGGTAAGTACACATGGGTGAAAGAACAGACTACATTTCATTCTTTTCCCCTACATCAACCTTTCTCCTGCGGCTCTGCTGGATCCTGACTCCCTTTCTCTCCTTGGTCATTACAAGCCTTTGTTTGTTTGTTTTTAATTAATTATAGTTTATTTATTATGCCTATACAGTGTCCCAATTTTTCCCCTGTTGCTCTCTCCACATAACCCCCAACCCCCACTCCCTCAAGCAATCGCCATACCATTGTCCATGTCCATGGGTCATGCATACATGTTCTTTGGTTACTCTATTTCCTATGCTGTAATTTACATTCCCATGGTTTTTCTTTAACTACCAATCTGTACTTCCTAATCCCTTCACCTTTTTCATCCATAACCCCAACCCCCTCCTACCTAGCAACCATCAAAATGTTCTCTATATCCATGATTTTGTTTCCCTTCTGCTCGTTTGTTTATTTTGACTTTTAGATTGAATTATTGAGGGGCATGTATTGCTGGCATTTTATTGTTCATATTTTTTATCTTCTTCTTCTTAAAGAAGTTCCTGTAACATTTCATGTGATGCTGGTGTGGTGGTGATGAACTCCTTTAGCTCTTCCTTCTCTGGGAAGCTCTTTATCTGCTCTTCTATTCTAAATGATGGCTTGGGTAGAGTTATCTTGGTTGTAAGTCCTTGCTTTTCATCACTTTGAATATTTCTTACCAATTGCTTCTAGCCTGCAAGGTTTCTTTTGAGAAATCAGCTGACAGTCTAACGGGGGCTCCATCACACATCTTTGGACTCTGGAATCCGATAGAACTGGGATCAACCCCTGTCCCATTGTAGGGCCTTGGGCAAGTCATTTCACCTCTCCAAGCCTTAGTTCCCCTATAACATGATGTATTAGAAGTTGTGATGTTTGGTTTGCTTTGGTTTGCTTCAGTTTTGCTTTGTTTTGTTTTATGGACATGTTTACCATTCTGTAATGCATGTAGAGAGGTGTTTAAAGACTCATGTTTCACAGATGTTTCTAAAAATGCTACTTGCATGCCACACTGAGAACAGAGTTATTTCAGTGAATGGATGTGTTGTAGCTGAGAAACCCAAGGTTCAGAGGTTTCTTGTCCTTAGCCCCACGGGCAATAGGTGTGGAGCCGACACAAAACCCTGAGGTTGTGGGACCCCAAACCTCACCCTCCTGCCATTCCACATGCCCTGTCTTTGTGCTGGTGAAACTTAGGATCACTCCAGGTGATTGCAAGAGAATGTCTGTATTGAATGACCCTTACAATTACTTCCCGTCATTTAACATTCATACATGGTCAAGAGCCTATCTTAACCAAGTGCACAAGGAGAGAGGGACTTCTTCCTCCCTGGGTTGCTGAGATAAAAATAGTCTAAAAGAGGGCAGTTGAAGTGAGAAAAACATTACAGACGATGAAAGGCGACATCAGTTAAATCCCCAGGGCTAAAAGCTGCGGATGCTAGCTTCTGCTTTTAGCTGTCAAGGATCATCTTGTGATTGTAGATAAATTTATTTCATACAAAAAAGAAAAAAATATGTATCTCCAGATTTGCTTCAAATGAAATTGATTACTGAGTCTGAGATAATTGCATTTAAGTAAAAATCCTAGAAGTCATAGAAATATCTATGACATCTAAGACATACAAGCATATACAGAAATTTAAGGTTAAAGAGTGATATTAAAAAAGCAATTGAAGTATCACATTGTCACTTTTGCTGGTTTCATTTAGAGTCTATGCTTTCTAGTTTTACCTCCAAGGCTTAGGGTAATAAGTGTGTATTTCTGATGCCACCCAAAGTAAATTACCATGGATTTGATTCCATTGAAGGCATAAAGAAAGGAAAGGGAAAACATAAAGGAGACAAGAGAATGCTTTCTCACAATTCAATAATGTGAAAGGACTTCATAGGTTGTATTTCGGAAGATACTTTTTTTTTAAAGCACTTGATGGTACCCTTTTCAACAGAGCTACCAAATAATAAAAGCTTATTTAACTTAATTTTCCACTCCATTTCTCCTCAAGGCACAGACCAAGTAAAGAAGTACCCGCATAGATTGCGTGCCACATGTCAGAACTTTATTACCATACTCTCTTGGCATTACTTCACCCATTTTTCTGTAATATTTTAATTCTAAACTGAAGGATGGGAAATGTTACTAGAACCTATGTCTCAGTTGGGTGACTACTCCATTAACCCAAAGATTGGTGGTTCTTTTGTTATCAAAGGGCTCTGAACAACAAGTTCAAATCACCCAGAGTTTTTTAAGTAATAATGCCTGCAGAATGCCACACAAAGAAAAAGATGAACTTACAAACTCCTCCCCCAAACCAGGAGTTACTTCTGTACCTATTCACAGCTGACCAAGGCCAGCGATTCACAGAATGGACTCCTTGGGCCCCATGTTAAACTATTGCAAATTTCTCATCCATAAAATGAAGTGCACTCCCAGCTGGAGAGGAAATTAAATATCTCTAAGATCTTTCCAACGTTAACATCTTGAGATTCTATGACTGAATTGGAGTAACATATATACACAAATTGGGACAAAATGTTAGTAGAATCCAAGAGAGCCCCCTCTCTCCCTTATATGTCTAGAGCAAAAACCTACCTGAAGTATGCAGGTGTGCTCCTGTGTGTGTGAGAGGGGAGCCCAGGAAGAGAGGCTCTTACAAGAATAAAAAGCCAAGAGCCTCTCAAAGCCTTACATCTCAAGAATGAAGGGCCACTGAAGATCAACACCCTTTATTTTGGCACAAAAGATACAATTAGAAATACCAATACTGTGGAGTAGTCAGGCCTTGGCTGGGTGTTAGAGGAATAAGAGAACCAATGAGGAAGGTGGGGAAGGAATCAGGGACCGAACAGCTGGGAGGTGGTTGAATGAAGGTATGCATGCCGCTTGGCCTAGAAAGGTGCCTGTTTCACACCTTTTTTTTTTTTTGACAATTTATTTTTACTTTTTGTAATTAAGTGTTTTCCACTTGAAGAAACTTCTGCTCAAAACACAGTTTCCAAGATGAAAGATTTAAGTTGTGCGGAATTACAAATTAGACGAAGAACGACATTGAATACCATACCACATCTAAGAGGGGACAAGTGAGAGAATAGTGCTTTAGGATTTATATCTGATATAGTACTTCAACTTCTGACTAATTGACTCTTGTTGCAAATACTTAAAAGGGCCCATTTTTCATTCAGTAATTACTTCTGTAGTTAAGTTGTTCTCTGTAATAATCATTTCATGCTGCCCCTGGTTTGAAATTTCATCCCCACACCCCATCTTCCACTCCTCTCTTCCTCCAGAGTACCTGCTTTATGTTTCAGAGAGTTAACAGGAGCCACCTGCAGAGAACTAGCTCCAATATCTACACCACACCTGTAAGCACTTTCCTCTAGTTCCCATGCTCTCCTCCCCTAACCTTCTGCTGCTACGGTGGAGGAAGTGGCCCCACCTGCCATCCACGGTGACTTCCACCTGCGCTCTGATTCCATCTGTTCTGTCTTCCCGCGGACTTCCCTGAATGGGTTACGCACTTTTTCTCCCAAGTCTTCAACTTCTTCCCATCTGTGGCTGCTTGCTATCAGTATTTCTATTTTTCTCCTTTAAAAAAAAATAAAAGTCCTCCCTGAATCCAGGAATCTCTTCTGACTATAGTTGTTTCCCCATCTAAACAGAGCCATCTGCTTTTTCCCCCACCACCCATCCCTTTACTCCCTGTCCACACCAATCTGGGTTCTGTCCTGGCCACTCCACTGGCTTGCTTTGCTCATATTGCAAAGGACACTTCGCCATCAGTCTGACTTAAACCTGCCTTCATCTTACTAGTCTCTCCTTGATAAACAAGTTTTCCTCCTCTTTTCCTGAGGGTTCCTCCCCCCTCTCTTTAAGGAGCTGTTTTCTTCCATCTGAATTTCACATATTAGATCCTTCTTGGCTTGGCCCTAGATCCACTCCACCTTTTTAATCTACACTCTTTCCCTGGTGCTTTCATTCACTCCCATAGACCAGCCTCTTTTCCCCAGTGCCTCTCTTCAGAACAGCAGAGCCCTATACCAGTTGCCTGTTGGCTGCTGGTACTGCATCCTCTCAAACCTGCCCCTTCTCCTGCATCCCTCAGTAAGTGTCGCCTAATTGCTCCTCCTGGAAACTTGGGACTTGATACTTTCTTTCTTTCTTAGCTGACATATTCAATTATCAAGGCCTATCAATTTTACCTTCAGAATAGATATCATGCTGTTTCTTTCTATGCTTCTTCATCCACCACCATCTCACTAGCCATAGAAACAACCCCTAGCTGCTCTCCTTGTGTCCGCCCTGACTCCTCTCTAGCCCACTGTCCATATCACAGCCAGAATGAACTTCACCAAATGCAGCACTAGTGTCACTCCATAGCCTGAAATGTTTTGGAGGCTTCCGATTGTTCTGAGAATAGAATGTAAATGCGTTTACATGAGCGCATGTGATCTGCCGTTTCCCTATTGACCTCTCTCCCCGCACTTCCTGTTACCCTCCTGCCCCATTCACTCTGTTGTGCTGAGCTTCTCCCAGCAGCCTGGTCATGGCGCCCTTCCTGGCGTCCTGTCGTTCTCTATCCCTGAATATCTCTCCCCACCTCATTGCATCCTTCCTCACCCCATGATTCTATATTAAATATTACTTCCCTCAGGTCCTGATTAAATATCACTTCCTCCAAGAAATTCTCCGGTCTTCCCAGCTCCTCTTGACTGGATTTGCCACCCCTGCTCTTTGCTATTTTAACACCCTGTACTCCATTGTACAGTCATCACAATTGTAATTATGTAATTATTTGGGTACTTTTGTTTGACATACCCTGCCAACCAGACTGTGGTCATCTCTGAACTTTCACCAGCCAGTATATTTCCTACTATATAATAGGTCTCAAAAATCTTTGTTGAGTGAATGAACGACAAAACTTCCCTTTTTTATCTTTCCTAACATCTTCTTTCCAAGTTAACATAGAGGTTTTGTCCCATCTTGTATGGGAAAATCTGAATGAAAGGCAAAAACATGTTTAGTTCTGTTTTGGTCCTGGTGTTAACTCATTCTATGAGACTGTCTGCTCTCTCTCTTTTTTTCTCAACTCCAAAGAGGGACTAAGAGAATAATGAATAATACAGGTGGGATTTCAAACCATTAGTACACTGCGTTATTCTCACAGTGAATATCCAAGGGCTTGCTTCCATTTGTTTAGACCCTCAGTGGTTCACACGACTTGTCCGTGGCGGGCCTCAGAAGCAACACTGCATCAGGCTGCCTCTCTACAGTGGGCGCCTTCCTGACTTCTGGTGGCCCGTGTTTTCCTTTCCACAGATGTGGTACAGATTGGGAAATTTATATTCCATATTACAAATATGAACTTTGACCTCATTCATTTTCTATGGTTTTAAGTTACACTTTAAACGTGTTTTTGGTTGTAAGTAGCTAGAAGTACAGGGTTCAGCACAAATAATGCCCCTTTTTTATTACAAAATCTTTTATGACCAGATCATAAGCATGTAATTCTGTAACAGAACAATATCACACTCAAGCATACCATATAGCATTTTAGGTGACATGTTCAAATTAAAACTATAAATTATTACACCCGTATCATTACCCTACCAACCACACTCAAGCAGGCCTGACTTCTGCCAGACCCTGTGTATCTCAATAACTTAGATGCCTCTTGCCAGCTGAGTTTTGATATTTCTGCTTCTGATTACCTTGGCTTTGTGAGATTATTAACACCCCAAATACACAGATGTAGAGCTGTGTTATCCTGATTTCAATTTTGTAATGATAGGGTTTTTTAATTATGTCCACACCCTTTCGTGTTATTCCTTCTACATCTAACAAGATAGATGTACGAGGCAGCATGGTCGGAAGTGTAGCCGAGAATCCCAGAACGAAGCAAAGCAAACTGGCCTGCATGTAACTCTTCTGATCAAACAGGCTGAACACAAAATACGTACACACAATTGGTAGCATGTAGCCAAGAAGTCATTCATTCATTCATCTAGCCATAATACATGGAATGTCACCTATATGGCTGGCATTATATATTAAACAAATAAAAAATATATTAATAGTTTTCTTTAATTAGTACTGTGTTTTGATTAAATAGGGTGAGGTATTATGTTATGATTAAATCAAAGGAATAGCCAACTATTAAAGAGTAATATCCAAGAAAAGTAATTTAAATCTGCCAAGGCTCCATCATCTCTCAAAGGCAAGGTCAAACTTAGATGAAGGAGGACTAACCCTTTTTTGAGAGAGTCCCAGGTCCACCAATATAGTTATTTCTCCCACCTATTCTCTGATGACTGAAGTACTCTTTAACAGAGGGTAGCCTTTTTGTGACTTAACTGAAGGGAATACTTAAGCACAGAGATTACACACTGTCAACAATTTGCATTGGGGTGCCAGGGACTAAAATGAGAGTTTCTGCACCAAGGAGATTGATGCAAGAATGGGGATTGTGCGTGTCAGACTTGGGACTTAAAGAGGGTGAGGTGAGCTCCCAGGAATAAATGAGAACACACATATGTACATACACACAGCACGAGAACTGGGATTTTGAAAACACACTGTGTTCGCTTGCCTCCTTTCAGGCTGTGCTTGATGTTGTCAGGACAATCTCACCAACTCCGGAGTCCTGCTCATTTACCAGTATCCTGTTCGCAATCACTGAAGCTGCTCCACTTGGCCTCGCTGCTCTCACTTGGTCCCAATCAGTGAGGGTAGACCATCCCCCGCACCTTTTTATGTGACAGGTTAAGCAGAAGTAATGTCCAAAATTGCAGCAATCCCAGGAAGCCTGAGAAGCAGTCATGTAAAGCAGCTGAATCTAGAAAGGGAGAGAGGGTGACAAATTTTAGTACAAAAGAACAGACCTGCCACTGGAGATGGGACATAGTTTGTAGAAGCAGTTGTTACAGCAATATATGTGACACCCTACAAGTGAATGAAAACTAGACGATAAAACAGGCCACATGGAGTTATGATAAAAATTCGTATGTCAGGGAATGCTGTTTTAAACTCAGTTCATAATCCATGCATTGCTAGAAAAGTTTTCAGAACAATGAGAGTGCTTACTTGCCCCAAATCCATTGGAACAGCTTGACTTCTATGAATATAGCATACCCTCCCCATGCCTGGCGGGTAAGTTTCAGAGATCTCTGAAAATAGATTCATCAATGAGCTTTTGATCCTGACCAAAAAAATAAATATGAAAAATTAATAAAGCCTGGAGCAGCTAACCTCTTTCTCTTTAGGGCACTGGCGAAAGTCTATTATTCTGATTACATCAGAGAGAAAATTCCAATTGCAAACTGTTCCTTTTAACTTCATGCTAATCAGTTTTCCTTTTAAGTAGGTCTTTAAATAGGTGATGGAAATAGAACTAGAACAGTACTGAGTGCAAATGAGGAAAACCAGAAATATATATAAAGCTAAAAGTTCTGAATATAAGAATTAGAGGCGATTTCTCTTATGCAGCTATAGAAATATAAATAAATATAAGCATAATTGACCCAGGTTCTTATTCAAGATCTCAGATACTACCTCAGTGTTCTCTAACCTTTTACCCATCCCAGAAGTAGCTAAAATATTCAACATGCTTCCATCCATAGTAGTGGCTTGGGGGCTGCAAAGGCAAAGCTGTTCTCTTCCTCAGTGTCTTGGGTCCCTGGAGGAGCCCCGAGGTGTGTATCTGGGAAAATCAGTTCCTGCAGGAGATTTTGATGCCTGCCCTGGAGAGCCGTCCCTTCCTGCACTGAGACCAATTGATGTGATTCTTCTGTGCCTTAGTTTTCTCATCAGTAAAAGGAGGGTAATATGCCCAAGAACATGTAAATATATAAAATGATTATACAAAAGAAAAGCTTTAATATCTCCCATTTGCATGTTTTCAGATAATCCGTCCAACATGGTACAACAGAACTGTGTTTGTTGAATGTTCCGGTTAAGCTCTTGAGTGTTAGGCTCTAAACGGAAGCTAAAAATAGCATTGATTAGAAGTAAACGTGGAGCACAATCTATTTAAAGGTCACTGTGACTGCTCCAGAGCATTTTGACGGTCTCTACCAAATATTTTAAAAAGAGAATAAAATACATAGGGTCATATGTCAGTGAACGAGCTCTGCATCGTAATGACCCATTTATTAAGCCTTACACACATGCAGATGTGCTGCTAAGAACTTAACTCTTATTTAATCCCCACACAGTCTTTTACTATTATTCCCATTTTACAGATACAAGACTGATGCTTAATCAAATGACATAGCATGCCCCAAATTCCACAATGCATTACTAAATTAGTATTTAAACCTACATTTTTATGATTGCAACATTTTTTTCTCTCAGCTACCATGCTGAGTTTGTAAGACTATCAGAAGTGGTTGGAGAAACTATAACTGAAAGAAAGTTGTAGAGAGACCCATCTTCTCATGGGTGCAGTGCCACCCTTCTGTTCGTTCACAAGCTGAATGAACAACATGTCAGGAATCCGAGTCTAAATATAACTTAACAGAGGGGAAGGAAAAGGGTGTAACTGAAGGAAACCTGCTCAATAGGGAACCGTAGTTTTTTTCCAATTCCAAATTAATTTACAAATAAGAACAGTAACTCACTCCTCAGGTGTCCTAGACCCACTCAAGAAATTTTCCTCTCTGCCTAATTAAAATAAATTGATAGTAAGCTGGATGCCGTTTCCCTGAGACAGCCACATTTGTGCTGGGAAAAGGAAACATTCAGAACAAAATTACTGTGAAAGATTTTAAAATTGGACTTTGTCACTAGGGGGCACTTAGGGATATAAAATCAGCATTGTCAAAAGTACTTTCTGAAACAGAACAATTACTGACATATCGTTTCAAGGAAAGAAAAAAATATCTGATTATAGACCTAAGAATTCAGGACATTTTCTCATGGACTATTTTTAGGTGCCAAGTTGGTGAGAAAAGGGGCATTTAAAGTGCACACAGTTTTGAAATTAGACGTCCTATCTTCTGTCTTTCACCACTGGAAGTAGAAATGTGATGTGAAGGAAAAAATAAGAAGAAGAAAGAAAGAACAGTGGGGAAGAAAACCTTCATCCTCCTGAGCCTCCTTTCATTGCTGTCTCTCGGTCTCTTTCTCACTGTCCTTGTCCTTTCCTTTACTCTTTTTCTAAGGTCGTTTGCTCCAGTTATTCAGTCTTTATTTTTGCTGGCCTCTCTTTTATTTTCCTTTTCTTCCCTTATACCCAGTTTTGTTCTTCTGCTTTATTGTTCTTCTTTGTTTTTGTTTTTTTTTAGCTGTGAGATGGTGTTCTACTTTGGTTTTTATACCTGTTTTGTAGTATTTTTTCCTCCTTTTTAGACAATCACATCCTCATTTTCTTAAGAAATCAATGAAATGTGTTCCTAGGTTCTGTCTTGCCTAAACCTGATAATAGACAATGTGTTAGAAGCCAGAAGAGAATAGTTTCCCCCAAGTACATGGGGAGAAAAATAAAAGTGGAAAACATATTCTCAAATGAGAATCTCTTACAGGACACAAACAAGCCAAAAATAAAAATAAAAAACCTATTTCATGGTATATATACAAGACTAAAACCACAGATTGGAAGTGAAAGATATGGCCAGAAAAGCTTGTTTTTGTCCACATGACCAAGCACCCAGCTTAATCGATTTTCTTTTCCAAATTCACCATTTCCTTGGGTTATCGTGTGAATAAGCTGTAAACCACATACAGTCATGAACTGCTGTCTCTCGGGGCCATAGATGCTCAGCAGCACCTGAGAGCAAGCGTGGGAGACCTTCAATCGCCCTACCCCTTCATGCGAGGGGGAAACATCCCGCAGTGTGCACCCTATCTGCGGAAATTACCCTGCAGTGATAATTAAGAAAATAATTGCAAATATGATTTACCAGGTCCATGCCCATCATTTCATCCTGTAAATTGAAACATTTCATCCACTGACCTAGTTTGTGAGCTTTGGGCTCACCTCCCATGAGTGGTAGATCTGGGTCTTCCTGAATAATGAGGGGATGGTCTGGGACCGGAAATCAGGAAACTGATTCCTTGTTCCCTTGGCTCCTCCTGTGGTCATGGGAAAGCCTACGCATCCTCAGTGTTTCTGGTAGGAAAATGATTAGTATAATTGTTATGTTGATTGCCTTAGAGATTTGATTTCAGTAAGCCATGCTTAGCACCCAGCTCTGCCCTCAACCTTTGAATAAACTTTTTATTCACACGAACAATAAATGGTAGTTCAGATGCCAATTCTCACAAAATTATTATTTCGAATATATTAGTAGGATATGTTAATTTTCCTACTTATTTAAAGCTAAATCAAACCATAAGACATCCATCTGGTTATAAAGAGGAGATAAATTAATTTTAATCTCACTTTTTTGACTTAGCAAAAAATTTTTATTTTTCTACGTTTTTACCATTTGACTGCTCCCCCCCACCGGGCACTACTTCACTGACCTAACTTCTCATTTTATATATTAATTTATATAATCATTAATATTGTGCAATTCCTTGACACTTCTCCTAGGAAGATAGATTTTGATTTTGTAGTACACTGTAATATATTGCATTTCTTTTTTTTATTCTATTTACTTACTTTTAGAGAGGGGAGTGGGAGAAAGAAAGGGAGAGAAACATCAATGTGCAAGAGATACATCAATAGGTTGCCTCTCACACTCCCCCAACTGGGGACTTGGCCCATAACCCAGGCATGTGCCCTGAGTGGGAATCAAGCCAGTGATCTTCTGGTTTGCAGGCCAGCACTCAGTCCACTGAGCCACACCAGCAAGGGTAGATATTGCATGTCTATATCACATTCACTTCATAGCTTCTGGGAACAGCAAGACAGTCCATGATTGCAAAGAGCTGGGTTTTTACAGCAGGAGCCTATGAACAGACTATCCTAGTGCAGGACACTGACAGATTAGAATATGTGCAACCACTGGAGGAGCAAACACGTTACTCAATGAAGTAGTCATCTCATCCAGGGCGGATGCCCCCTCAGCAAGGTATGTAGGAAGTTTGGGAAGGCAGTTATTGTCACAGAAATTGGAGGTCTCTGCCACTTAGTGGGAGGGCCCGGTGCTGCTAGACATCCTTCGATGCACAGGTCAGTTCTGTCCAACAAACAACTGACTGCAGTTGCACGTGGCTTTTTAAAATCCTAGTGAACATTTTTGCAGTCAGGTTTATACAATAATTCGGTGACCCTCGATCCTTACTCTATTTGAGATATAAATACAAAAAAATTGTTGCTATCTTAAGAGGCATTCAATTTTCCAGAAAGTAATTACCATGTAAAGCAAGGAAAAACTCTTTTTTATTTTGTTCACTTTCACCAAGAATTATTCCTTTGGAAATTCACATCACCAGCTGCCAGTTTGGGCATTTGAAATACTCACACTTGTCTGTATCAGTTTGGGACTGTTTCTGATACATTCAGTGTTCTAGGTGTAGGCTCAATCCTCTTACTATTTCCTTATGCCTTTTTGGTAGTCTTATCTAAGAACTTACATATTGAAGTTCATATTATTTTATTGTAAATGATTGCTCTTTAATTCTCCATTATAATTGATTTTTTAAAATACTGAGTGCATATAAATTTTTACTAGCTATGGGTTTCCTTTCAAGATAGCTGTATCAATTAATTAGCTATCACTGCATAATAAACCAACCCAAAACTCTGCAGCTTTAAACAGTCGACATTCATTTAGCTCCCAGTTCCATGGTTGGTATTTTCAGTTGGGCTTCCTCTTGACTCTGCAGATACCTTGAGAGGTCGGGTAGTGATACTGACCAGACTTTCTCACATCTCTGGGCTTCCAGTGG